TGTAAATAGTGTACATAAAACCTCATCTCAGAAATATAGACAGATAGTGAAAGGCCGAAACGTTGTAATAAATATGGTGACAAAGATGAAGACAATAGTCCGAATAAAATAGTGTACATAATACCTCATCTCAGAAATATAGACAGATACTGAAGGGCTGAGACATTGTAATAAATATGGCGACAACGATGAGGACAATAGTCCGAATAATGTAAATAGTGTACATAAAACCTCATCTCAGAAATATAGACAGATAGTGAAAGGCCGAAACGTTGTAATAAATATGGTGACAAAGATGAAGACAATAGTCCGAATAAAATAGTGTACATAATACCTCATCTCAGAAATATAGACAGATACTGAAGGGCTGAGACATTGTAATAAATATGGCGACAACGATGAGGACAATAGTCCGAATAATGTAAATAGTGTACATAAAACCTCATCTCAGAAATATAGACAGATAGTGAAAGGCCGAAACGTTGTAATAAATATGGTGACAAAGATGAAGACAATAGTCCGAATAAAATAGTGTACATAATACCTCATCTCAGAAATATAGACAGATACTGAAGGGCTGAGACATTGTAATAAATATGGCGACAACGATGAGGACAATAGTCCGAATAATGTAAATAGTGTACATAAAACCTCATCTCAGAAATAGAGACAGATACTAAAGAGAATACTGTCATACAGAGTTCGTTCTTCAGAGTGGTGATGGGGGTTCCTCTTTTATGGAGCTCGATTTCCTTCCGGCTAGCATAATTAAGAAAAGTCAGCCTACACTCGACCCAGACCAAAATATTCTGCTCAATGCTGGGTGTCGCCACCAAGTGCTTCGAGCTACCATTCTCAGTTCAAGAATCGTTCTTCCATTTCGAGTTTAATAATATGCTTGTGTGTGACTTAACGATTAACTTTGCAAAAAATTGAAACCTGTTCAAATTTCGGTTGCACCAGTTTGTATTACTGCTCTAGAGAAAGGCATGAATTCTTCCCTTCTTCTTCCAGGTATGGATAAAAGTAGAAATGTAAACTGGTCTTGCTAGCTTTGGTTGGTAACCATTGTTGGAAAAGTAGTACACTAAATTCAAAATCTTGAATAGGGCAACGGGAAACAACTCCATTATCTTTCACAAGAACAATCATGACAATGCAATTTACAGATATTAAAGAAAAAGAAACTGTAGAGGGCCATTATCACTTCCGGTCTGAAGAGGCATGTCACTAATATATATATATATATATATATATATATATATATATATATATATATATATATGTATGTATGTATGTATGTATGTATGTATGAAACGGACAAAGTCCGACAATTATTTGCATTGTATCTATAAAAAGAATGTATAAACATTAAAATAATTGTCGGACTTTGTCCATTTCATTTGTTTACATTTGGATACGCTTTGAGCAGATATGAATATACGTGAGAGATTCATGGAAGATTGTAGTTTAAAGACAGTAAATTCGACCGTCCTAACCGAACGATCCTCTGTGGCCAAATCGGTTAAAGGCACGCCGTGCTATATGACTGTTCCGTATAGGATACAGGTTCAATTCCTGTCGGAGGACGAATATTTTCAGTCTGGTAAATGTTATAAATACTGTTTATTATAAAAACAGAGCATTTACTTAAATATTTGTATCTATGAAAAGAATGTATAAACATAAAAATGTCTTAAATGTATATTTTAGTAGCATTTTGTAATTTATGCAAATTTTATTGAAGACTAGAGATAAGATTTTTTAACATTTTATTAGTAATTTTATTCTGATTTAGTACAAGATAATGGATGTTTGGTTTCAATGCGTGGAAAAACTAACCGTACAATTACGTTCGAGACCTTTTACTCATAATTAGTCATGTTCAAGCACAAGAATTCGATGTTATGGTTTAGAAGTTCAAGAAAACATTGTCTTTTCTTTATAACGTTTTGATGTTTAGAATGGTATAAATTTAAATCATGTTTTATTTTCAAATGCTGAGACCAAGTATTCTGAACAAGGTCAGAAGGCAAAACGGTCGAAACGTCATAATTGCAACAAAGATGCGAACATTAGTTTGAATGTAAATAACGATAACTCCTCGCCCTAGAAATGCAGACAGAATTATTTTTTTGAGTTCTTCGAAATCTGACTGCATTTAATATTTATAGCTTTTAATTAAAAAGTAATTACTTGGTAAATTTGTTACGATTAGATTTTTGTTATTGCAACCCTCCCATTTTTTTCTTCCATCGTAAAATTAAAAAAAAAAAATAACTACATCGCCACGCCTACATTGCAAGAAGAGTCTGAAATTCAACAAACGTAGACAATCAAGAAATAAGAAGAAACCCATTATCTCATATAGGAATAAATTCCTTCTTCGATACTTCCTGGTTTTATCGCAAGTTCGAACCTACTCATGGCCATTCATTAAAACTAACAGAACATTAAGAAACAGATAACAAATAGAATAATGCAGCTCCAAAGACGGTTATATAGGCAAGGCATCAATATATTTTATATTCTTTAAATTGTCATATCCCTTCAGAACTTAGATGGATATGGCTCTCCACAGCATCTTTTTCTTTTTTATCTGTGAATTGCGTTGCTTTTTGGGTAAGACAGCGGTTTCACGTTTCCGGGTTTTTCTTCCTTTAGACTGGTTGCCAACCCTGTTGTTTAATCCATAGCTGACGGGAGAAGAGATAGATTCATGCCTTTCCTAAGGATATTAATGCAAAAGTTAACAGAAATGACTCGGCCGGAATTTGAACTCGCCTCGCCGATTGTACTTTCGACGCTAATGACAAGACCCACTCGTATGCAGCCGATGAAAAAAATTTGACGGGTACCAATTTTTGTAGAATGAAGAATATTTTCTTACGAAGAGAATCCACAAATGAGAAAACTATTATCCATTTATTTCATCATTTACTCGATGATAAACAAAAAGTCGCAAAGAAACCGATTGATTGTTTAATTTTTTTACGGTTTATCAACCCTTTGCAGATTATTTAAACGCAGATAATATTTTTAGATTGTGAGATTTTTTTTGTTTTAGATAATAATGATTTTGTCGGTTACTAATTAACCCATATCTGGGGGAGAAGAGGTGGATCCATCGCTTTCCCAAGGATATTTTCACGTAAGTGAATATAACGAAATTGGAATTCAGCTGTCCAATTAACAGTTCGAACCATTAGACCACCTGCATATCCAAGCTTACCAGGTATTCCCAAGTGGTCACCCATCTATGTACTGACTTGGCTCGATGTTGCTTAAGACGATCGATGTTTCAACATGATGCGGCCGCAATCGAAAAAGAATCTGAACTTAAAAATGAAAAACTATACTAATTATTTTGTCTGGATGGGGGGGGGAGATAGTAAAGGAATTAACATTGCTTAGGGCTACAAGGGATAGGAAGTTGTGGAGAACTGTGATCGCCTACGCTCAGAAAGGACATGGCACCGAAAAGAATCTAATTTGGTGTAAAATTAAGATCTACAGATTAATATTCTTTTAAAATGTATTTCAAATCTCTGTCTCTCTTCCTCTTTCTCTCTCTCTCTCCCTCTCTCTCTCGCTTTCTATCTATCTATTTCGTTTTATTATCTATCAATCTATCTTAGTTTTTTTCATATCTATCTATCTATATATATATATGTATATATATATATATATATATGTATATGTGTGTGTGTGTGTGTGTGTATAAATTTCTTCATATCTATCTTAGTTTCTTCATATCTATCTGCTTTATCTATCTATCTATATATATATATATATATATATATATATATATATATATATACATATAGATATATAAATTTTTTGATATCTATCTTAGTTTCTTCATATCTATTTAACTATCTATCTATCTATCTATCTATATATATATATATATATATATATATATATATATATATATATATATAAATTTCTTTTATATGTATCTATTTATCTCAGTCTATATCTATCTACCTATGTATCTATCATTCTTTCTATCAATTTTAGTTTCTTCATATCTGTCTATCTTTGTTTCTTTATATCTAAGTATGTATATATATATAAATTTCTTCATATCTATTTATCTATATATATATATATATATCTGCCTCAGTCTCTATCTATATATCTAGCTAGCTATCTTAGTTTCTTCATATCTATCTATTTATCTATCTATCTATCTCTATCTGTACCTCACTCTCTCTCTCACTCTCACACACATATACATACACACACACACACTTTTTCTCTCTCATTTCCGACAAAGTATGTGTTGATTTTAATAATCTTATTATCGGGATCGTTAAGATGAGTAATTATCATTATTATATGCTTGCTTTTCCGACCAGCAGGTCTGTTTTTATGCATAGTAGTTTAGGGAAAGACAAAAAAAAACGACACGAAGTTGAATAAGATGGTTGAGTATTATCTCCTTTCCTGCCAATTATTTTAGGAAAAAATTTTCAGTCTCAGACGAATGTTTTTATTTGTTTTTAATATAGTAACTAAGAAACTGGGGTACCTTGAAGTACCCGAGCGGAGGCTAACACCTCTACCAGACGTAGGAGTTGACAACTGAACTCTTTTCAAACTCAGAAGGTCATAAAAAGAATCAAGATCGACGTATAAACACGTCTGTAGCTGGTTTTTGAACGTTTTTGAAGCTGTAAAAGATAATTTCGGTAAAACCGTATATACACGTCTACGCTAGAGAAGGGGCTAAATGTTATGAAATAACCCTAAGGATCGAAAGTGAAACGAGGACATTATACACCCGTTGATTAAATAAAGAGTTCGGTACAAAATTCCAATAAGGTTATCAAGTACAGAAACCTGAAGAAGGCCGGACGACACAACGACGGAAACGTTGTGAGTGTAAACAACCAAGACAAGCATTCAGGTCCGAAAAGCAAACTATATAACAAAGTGTTGGTCTTTCTTGCACCCTTCGTCCTATCGGCTAGTGCAGGGTGAAAGGTCAATACAAGATCTTGGCGCGTATATTAGTTGGGAAGAGTCCGGTGCTGTTAGACATAGAGGTGCGCGGACAAACACGAACAGGAATATGTTTTTGCTTTCCCCTCGTCTGGTGCTTAAACTATAACAACAGGCACGGGTGGTGAACGGATCTTTTCCTCTTAGACTTTGTCTTTCCCATTTCCACTTCCTCCTCTTCTGACGACGTCCACGTTGTGTCGGCGTGTCACGTAATCGAGACTGATAGCACGCCTGCCATTCAACGTGCGCCAGGGGCGGGAACTGCGATGTTGTTTACGGAGCCCAGTGTGCATGCGCTGACAATAGACCAGGCCAGAATAGACAAGAAAACACCCAAAAGTTTTACATTTTATATCTGTGTGTGCGTGCGCGCTCGTGCATGTGTGCGGGTGTTTGCGTGCGTACATGTGTGTGTACGTGATAGAGAAAGAGATCAGATAGATAGATAGATAGATAGATAGATAGATAGATAGATAGATAGATAGATAGATAGAAAACTCCCAGAAGTTTTACATCTAAAATAGATATATGTGAGTGTGTGTGAAATAGATAGATAGATAGATAGATAGATAGATAATGAACAGAAATGAGATAGATAGATAGATAGATAGATAGATAGATAGATAGATAGATAGATAGATAGATAGATAGATAGATGAAAAACAAAACGGAGTTTCCTATATGTTGCATATTGTCCTTCGAAAGGACTTCTTTCTACTAATCATATATGTAAGGGGGAGGAAATGAAATACAATAAATGTCGTTTACAACTCTACATAGAGAGAAACGTTGAAGATATAAGGTCTCTAAACTTTAAATTTCTGATTTGTGTGAATGCACCACCGAATCGACCTCATTCAATTTTCGGCCTCTTTTCTTTTTATCGTTTTTCAGTATTCTATGGAATTTTCAACCTATTCTTTATATTTTTAAAATGTTTTTATAATATATAAAGTTTATCCATCATATCCCAGATAGATAGATAGATAGATAGATAGATAGATAGATAGATAGATAGATATCAACACTGAGAGTTATTTAAATAGCTACTGATTGATGGAAAGAAAGAAAGAAAGAAAGAAAGAAAGAAAGAACAAATAAAAAATAAAAAAGGAAAGAATGACAGAAAGAAAGAAAGGAAGGAAGAATGTAAGAAAGAAATAACGAATAAATGAAAGAAAGAGTGAATGAATGAATGAATGAATGAATGAATGAATGAAAGCGAGCAAGAAAGAAAGAATGAATGAAATAAATAAATAAAGGAAGAAAGAATAAAAGAAAGAAAAAAGAATGAAAGAAAAAAGAATTAATTAATGAAAGAATGAATGAATGAAGGAAGGAAGGAAGGAAGGAAGGAAAGTATCACTCAATCAATTAATGAAAGAGAAAGAGAGAGAGCTGACTGAAATCAATCTGACTCCACTTGATCATGTGCCATAATGGATGTCAATCTTCATAGGAGCAGCCATCTTTAAAGTACTTCATTTGCGATAAACAAGGTTCGTTAAGTTCATTTATGCAAATGAATTTCAGTACTAAAATCATGTCTAATTTTCCTATGCCCATTCTAGATTTCCAGGTTCTTCAGTGATTATCGGAGCAGAAAGAGAGATTGGAGTGTCAAATTCAAATCCAAGCTTGCGTTGCGTTCAATTTCACACAAATACACTTAGAACTCTATAAAAAAACCTATCAATCTGCTATAAACAGCAGACTTGAATGAACTGTTTATTCTTGATTGTCACTGACAACAATTATAAGAGAAGGGCCTTCTTGCATCAAATTCCTGCAGATATTATAAGGATTCAATAAGCGTTGTTTAACGTCCATTGTCTTCAAATTGGGGTCAAAACACTATGAAAGTATAAAAATATTTTATAATACCAGCAATATATTTTGTAAAAGATTTTATCAGCAATTAATTTTTCAAGAAAAAATTATTACCAGCAATACATTATTACGAGCAATACATTTTTGGAAAAATCAAAGATTATTACCAGCAATACATTTTTGAAAAAAATCAAAAATTATTACCAGCAATACATTTTTGAAAAAATATTTACAGAAATACTTTTGGGAAAAACTATTATCAAGAATTAAAATCTAGTTGGCATTAAATAACCCATTGACACTTCTATGCCGTAAAACAAAGAAAACCAAACCAATCAATATGTGAGCAATTTTAAGAACAGAATACAAAAGGGATTCTTATATTTTGAAATGACCTTAAAACCGACGGACGATTAAGTTATTGAAATAAAATGCTCTTGTAACTTAGTGATTACCTCTAATTCGAAATTAAACAAGTAAAATGTTTTAAATTTTGTTTTATCTACTTACGTTTTTGTATAGATGTCTTGAGAAATGATCATCGTTAATTTCGAAAATTCTTTTAATTTCTTTTTCAAGATTATTCGACACTTATTTGGTTATAAAATCAAACTTCATTTGTTAATCTTTATGGCGATAATATATTCATGCCGAATTTTAGTCGTTCATTTTCCAACAAATTAGAATACGTCAAATTTATCGACAGATATCATATGCTTATATTTTGTTGTGGATTCTGGGTTGAAATGCGGTACCAATAAATAACAAACGCCATGAATGAATATAAGAAAATAATGTATTAACGTAATAATACAAACTGGTAATGTAGGTTAGTAGTTCCAGGAATACGGGTTAGTAGCAAAATATATATACAGTCTTTGGTATTGAAGTATCGCTGTATGACTTCTTATTGAGTCTACGTGCTTGCTCACTGTGACTCCTACAACGCTGTTACCTCACCCTCACTCTTCCGGTTACCTACAACCTTTTACTCTGTCACTCTAGACTCGACTCGACTCGACTCCTCGGTTTTGCTCTCTCGGGTCTTCACGTAGCCGTAGTATATGTATATACTGGGTGATTCCATTTGTGTAAAAAGGGGTGGACCCCTCAACACATGGAAGATTATAAGGTGCATTTTAACACTGGATGCTTTTTTTACCGTAAAGGCAAAAATGCATCGCAAGCAAGAAAAAAGGTATGTGCCGTTTACGGTGATGGTGCTTTAGCTAACAGAACTGTACGGAAGTGGTTCGCTAAGTTTAGAGTTGATGATTGTAGCTTTATTGAAAAAGAACGCTCAGGTAGATCCACTACAGATGGCGACCGAATGAAGATATTGATTGAGTATAAACCCACTTACACAACGTGGGAATTGGCAGAAACACTAAATTTATCCACCAGCCACGAGACACTTATTGAAGCTTGGCTACTCAAAATGCTACGATGTTTGGTTACCACATGATCTGAGTGAAAATAATCTTTTGGGTCGCATTTCATCTATGATTTGCTGTATAAAAGCAATGAAAATGCACCCTTTTTTAAGAAAATTGTGACGGGTGATGAGAAATGGATCGTTTACAACAATGTTCAGCGAATAAGATTCTGGGGTAAGCGACATGAGCCAACTTTAGCCACGTCAAAAGCAGGTCTTCATTCTGAGAAACTCATTTTGTGCATCTGGTGGCTTTGGAAAGGAATTCTGTACTACGAGCTTCTGCCAAGTAACCACTCAATTCTGAAAAGCACTGCTCGCAACTGGACAAATTAAAAGCAGAAATTCAAGATAAATGCCCAAAATTGGCGAACAGGAAAGGTGTTTTCCATCAGGATAATGCCAGACATCACATTTTTTTAAAATTGTTTTTTGTTTTTTGAGTGAACCCGCAAAATCTGTTGCAGCTTGACTGGGATGTGTTACCCCACCCGCCATATTTAACACCTTGGGATTTTCATTTATTCAGGTCCTTTCAAAATAATCTCAGTGGTGAAAGTTTTACTTTTTTGGATGACATAAAAACCACATTAATGAGATGGAATTTTTAAGCTGAAAGAAAAATGGAGAAAGGTTGTGAAACAAAATGCTTTATATTTAGTTGAATAAATATTTAATGGCATAATTTTGTTTTGTGTTTTAATTTTCCTTAAAAATCGCCATGAATTTCCTGGACAACCAATAATTAGAACCAATTAATAATAATTGGTTTATTGTTGCGTTTTTTGGCGTGTTCTGTGAGCATCAAATATGAAAGTCAAGTGAAAAATTCCTGGAAATTCACAAGACTGACAAAAAGAAACGTCTTTTGGGCTGTCGTTATTCTTCTTAATTCTTGATCTAGATTTATTCCCGTTCATCGAATGCAGAAGTACGTAACCGGATAAATTGCATCCTATATATATATATATATATATATATATATATATATATATATATATATATAGATAGATAGATAGATAGACAGATAGATAGATAGATAGATAGTAAGTAATCAATATATATATATATATATATATATATATAAAGAAATAATCATACATAAAATCAATCAGCAATATTAATGCGATTAATGGAAAAATCACTTCGCATTAATATTGCTGATTGATTCTATGTATATTATTTTTTTGCATAAAAATATACATGCCTATATATATATATATATATATATATATATATATATATATAAATAAATAAATAATATATATTAAGTAGTCCACCACTAGCAGTGGTTTACCTACTTTACGCCGCTGGCGAGTATTGTATTTGGTTGATGTTATAAAGATTACCATTTCATTTCCAACTTCCATTTTTCATTATTCCTCATTCAGTAACCTTTCCTAGGTTACAACAGTTTCATTCTGTCAAGCGATCATCAGATTAAGGATTCTTTCTCCTTAGCAGACTGCAAAGAAATCAAGTCCCTTTATGTAAAGTAGTAGTATCACTTGATCTGATGATCGCATGGAAGCGGTAAACTGACAGTCACCAGTCAACATTTAGAAAAAGGAGACAACGACCATAAAAGCAGAACAGCAAAAGGTATTTAAGTGAAGAGATTACTTACTAGTGAATTCTGTTGTAAACCACCCGCGGCGAAAAATTTAAATCGTTTGTTGTTCAAATTCACTGGAGCGTGAAAAGAACGCCAATTAAAAAATAATTATCTTTTCTGAAGTCTGGTTTCACTTATTTGGCAAAATCGGTAGCCTTTTCATGCATGACCGAACTGTAAACTAATAAAAATCGAGAATGGCAATCCAATTAGCTATCCAGTGATTTTCGTATCAAAATCAATTTCCTGGCGGGATTCCTGCCTAAACGAGGGTCACTCTGGATCGCGAAATAAAATAGATGCCCAGAAAGTGTTCTATAAATGATTTCCAGAAAAATGGTTTAATAAAAAAATCCAATTTGTATAAAAATTAGATTTTGCTTACATTGTTACTTTGATTGATTGATAACCCTTACATCATTCACTTTACACACACACACACACATTACACACGATATATATATATATATATATATATATATATATATATATATATATATATATATATATGATATCAACAAATTGAATGCTGGTGTTGATAAAATAGGCTCGATGAAATATAACATTTTTATTTATGAATTTTTTTTTCGTTTCACCTTTTGAATCTTTTGAAGTCTGAAGAAATCCAGAGAAAAATAAGATTCTCTGCTGAAATAAATTATTACAAATGGAGCCTTAAAGTGTTCTGTTTTTCTTTAAATTAAATTATTCGCTCTGACTTGACATTGAGCTCTCAGGATTTCATCCTCCTTGGGATTATCCAGATGGATTACCAAGATTTTCATTATTTAACTATTATTTAACTCAACA